TTTTTTTTTTTTTTTTTTTGATGTAAGACTTGTGTGCTCACCAGAGACAGAGACAGAAAGCGAGAAATCACCCCATCCCTCGCCCCATGAGGGATGGCCATGTTGCAATCTCTTCTCCATTCTCCTCTCGGGATTTTGGGCAAGCAAACATAAGTACCCAGTGTGAATTTTAAGCTGTGGGGTCTGGGACTTGAACCATGGTCACCTATGTGGGTGTTCAGTGAAGTAACCATTATGTCATCTGCTGGTCCTGCAAATGCCTTTTTGAAAATGCAGAAGCCCAGGCTAGCAGGTGGCATGGTGGTGAGGTGCTGGACTTCGTGATTCATCGTGGTTCGAGTCCCAGACCTGTATTGTTTTACTTTCTCTGCCTCTCTCTCGCTCTCACTCTGTCTCTCTCTCTGGTAAGCACACGTGCCCTGTAGCAAATTGAAAATAAATATATTTTTAAATCTAAAACTAAGTAAGTAAATAAAGAAAATGCAAGAGTCTCTGGGCAGGGGTTTTACCTACTTTAGAGGGAATCCTATCCCTGTGGTAAGAAGTGCTTTTTTTCCCAATGTTTGAGGGAAGCACTGTGAGAATTAGGGGTGGAATCATGTTTGATTTTGTGTGAGATCTGTGCATATCAATGAGAGGAGGCGAGTATGGTACATGGATGGATGGAAGGGAGGTTGGGAGCCAGGAAGTCTAATAAGTGGAAACTAAATGAACTAAGGGGCACATTAGATTTGATGAGAGGTGTGCATTCAGGTGGGCATCAGGACAGATGGATGGGGGGGGCACTCCCTAAACGTGACTGACCCTATGGGGTTTTTAGCCCAGTACTTCGTTCTCTGGCCCGGCTGAAGCCCACCATGACGCTGGAGGAGGGACTGCCAAGGGCTGTGCAGGAGTGGGAGCACACCAGCAACTTTGACCGAATGATCTTTTATGAGATGGCAGAAAAGTGAGTCTACCAACAAACCCAATTCTCCCAAAGTGGGGGCAGTGTGGCTGAGAGCAATAGGGTCAGTGAAGAGAGCACATCTGGATGATTGTTAAAAGGAATGAGGAGGAGTGGAGTGGTGTAAGTTAGGATGGAACCCCGGACCCTTGCTGCTTCTTGTACCACCTTGACTCTTGGGTTTTTAAATTGTTTCCCCTTAGAAGCTATCCCCTCTTCAGAGCTTGTATCTATATAGGGGCCTTCACATTAAGGTCTTAGGATGAGCCCAACAGGTATAAAAAAAATCTGTGCTGTAGGGACCTAGCAATATGGCAGGTTCTTTTTTGAGTATTCATAGGTAGCAAGTGGCTACTGATGCAGAAAGAACTTTGAGACCACCCCAGCTTTGGAAATAGTGGCACAGGTAATCCTATCCCCCCTTATCCTAGGGAAGGACTGCTTCTGGAAGAGTTGACCAGAATCCTGAGTGCCTAGCATAGTCTCCTGGCTCTTATCTATGTTAGTATCCTTGCTCAAAAAAAAAAAAAAAAAGAAAAAAGAAAAGAAACCCTTCCCTCCATGCATAACTCACTTTCTCTCCAATTGGACATATGCCTCCTGGATCTACCCTTCCAAGGGCCACAATCCAGCGTCAGATTGGGGACTGGCTTGGATTCTAACCCCAGGCTCTCCTTCAGGAATTTAGCTATAACTCATGGTTCTAGGCAAGGACAGATGAGGCATTGAGGAGGGTCCTCATGGTGAGGTCCTACCAGGCTATTACAAAGGTCTGATGAACTAACCCAGCCTATATTAAGTGCCACTGTATACAACCCATGAAATAGGGAAAAGAAGTAAAAGTCTAGCTTCTGTCCTGAAGTTTACAAGCTCTGGATCGCTTATTTTTCTTTTTTAAATAATTGTTTTAACCTTATTTATTATTATTATTATTATTTACCAATTTGACCAGAGAGAGAGAGAGTGAGACAGAGAGGGAAAGTAAGAAAGGAAGCCACCCAGTCTGGGACTTGAACCACGGTTGGCCATGTGGGAATCCACATCTTCAACCACCATGCTACCTGCTAGCCCCTCACTTTTTTCTTTAACTAGCTTCCTTTAAGGACAGTGGTAGATGATGCAGTGATGTTGAGGTTTACCCAGAACTGTTATAAGGTCATCCGTCAGCATCCCCCACTCGGTGACTTGACTTAGGCAGAACTTTGTTCAAATGAGGCACTTCCTTAGTCATGCTTGACTGTTGCTAGATGTCTTGGTTCTTGAAGGGCCCGTCCCTCTCATCACTACTTGTGACTTCCTCACCCTCTGCAGGTTTATGGAATTTGAGGCCGAGGAGGAGATGCAGATTCAGAATGCTCAGCTGATGAGTGGGTCCCAGGGCCTGTCTCCTGCAACTCCTTTGAAACTTGAACCTCCAGGGCCCCCAGCCCCTGAGGTTTGCCAGCAGCCAGGTAAGGCCACCTGATTCTAACAGGAGCTATGGACGCAGGCTCCATGTGAGGGTGAACCAGTGGCGTGGTGGTTGAGGCAGCTGGACCCCACATAGCCGAATGTACTGTTTGAGTCCTGGACTGGAGAAACACACTGGGTGTTGTGTGTGCGTGGTGCTCAAAATCCCAAGCGAAGAATGGAGAAGGGACTGTGGTTTGGCCATCTTCCCTAGGGGGTGATTTCTCACTTTTGCTCCCTGTCTCCCTGCAGCAAGTACACAGGCCCTAAAGCAAAGCAAAAACAAGACTCCACAGGAAGCAACAGAAACCAGTCACACATTAGCCAAGTCATTGCTCTTGTTTCTTGTCACTTTTCCTCCAGAGTGACATTTAATGTTCTAAATAGAATGCCCCATAAGAGGCTGGGTCCTCAGTTCCCTGTTCCAAACTAGGTACTAACCTTAGTCAATTACCTTCTACCTAGGTCGAAAACGAGATACATAATACCTCATATGCCCAAGAAATGGGCTGAGTCAGGGGGGTTCTTGGAATTTCAGGGATTTCAAGATTCTTCATAGAGTGATTCTTAAAGACCTCCCTTCCCCCCCAACCCCACCAGCTCCGGAATCTCTCAGAGGGAGTACTTTAGGTTGGCCTGATCTGGCCTGGAACACCCAGATTGCTGTCCTTACAGGGCAGTGTGGCAGAAGCCATTGCTCTGTGCCACTTCCCATTCTCCTTTCCTTCTTGTCACTCAGTGTACATTCCGAAGAAGGTAGCCTCTAAGACAAGGGCCCCCCGCCGGCGGCAGTGCAAAGCCCAGAGGCCTCCAATTCCTGAGGCACCCAAGGAGATCCCACCAGAAGCCGTCAAAGAGTATGCTGACATCATGGAAGGGCTGGTGGGGAGTCACTTGGCCACTGGGGCTTTGAATACAAAATGGGAGGAACAACAGCAGGAAGAGGAAGAGATGTATCCAGATCCAAGTCTCCTGAACTACATTGATGAGCTGTGCTCCCAAGAGGTCTTTGTTTCTAAGGTGGGCTGGGCCTAAACATCTACTTTCTAGCAGATCCTAGGGGTGGATACTTTGGGATCTGGGGTTCCAGCCAAGGTGGTAGAAACTAGGTTCTATTTCCTAACAGAAATGTGTGTGTGTACACACAGATATAAATGTGTGTAGCTGGTGGTAGTTGTGGTTTATAATTCTGAGGGAAGAAGAGGGAAGTGTGAGGTTCATGGCTTCTCCAGAGCCTTTGGCTCACAGGTTACCTCCTATCAAGGACTCACATTTACTTTTCCTTCTGTTCCCAGGTAGAGGCTGTCATTCATCCAAGATTTCTGACAGATCTGCTGTCTCCAGAACAACAGCGGGATCCCTTGACCTTAACTGAAGAGCTGGAGCAAGAAGAAGGACTCACTCTTGCCCAGGTAAACCTGGGATGCAGGGGCTATCACAAGAAGCTTGCATAGTTCTATGTAACCCTACACTGCCTTGGATGATATGGTTTTAGAATAAACAGTTTCAAGATTGGGCTTGAGGTGCAGAACAAGGGGACCATGAAAACACAGGAAACAAGAGTATAAGGCTCAAAGCATGGAAATAAGGCAAAGGAGGCAGGAAAGCTGTGGTATCTGTCTTTGATACTTGCTTAAACTACACGCTTGCCTTCTCTGTCCTGCCAAACACCACCTCCCACCACCCACTGAGCCACCTCTTCTAGAGTACAGAGCTGGTATTTATCCATTCTCTTCCAGCTGGTCCAGAAGCGACTCCTGGCCTTGGAAGAGGAGGAGGTTGCGGAGGCTGCTCCCAGTTGCAGTGGAGCTCAATCGAACTCAAGTCCATCTGTCTCTGATGAGGATGAAGATGGGAGTGGGAGGCTTCGGCCTTCACCTGGGCCTCAGGGGGCAGGGAGCAGTGTTCTCCTTGGAAAGGCTGCTTCTCCAGGAGAGCGGGCAAGAGAAGTGCATGGTGGGCAGGAGCAGGCCCTAGATAGCCCAAGGGGAATGTGCAGGGATGAGAACACATTGCAGTCCTCCAGCAGCTGGGACCTGCAGTTAGAACTTGCAGCTCCACAGGGAACTCAGGGTCCCTTGGGTATAGAAAGAACATCTGGGATGGTTATAAACCAGGTATCTCCACATCAGGATAGCCACCTGGGAGTTGCTGGGTCCCCTGGGCACTGCCTGGCAGCTAATAGGACTTCAGAAACTTTGCCCCTTTGTTGGCTGGAAGACCCCCAGCCAGAGGACACTCCTGGTCTAGATGATGGATTTGCAGAGCAGGCTCTTCTACAAGGACAGGAGTTAGAAGAGCAGGTCCTGGGGTTGCAGACAGAACAGATGGGGGATAATGGACTGCTTCCTCAAGGGAAGGAGCCTTTAACAGTGCCCCAGGAAGGCTCTTCAGGAGCCATGTGGGGAGATGATGGAGGTCCTCCCATGGTTCAGGGTTGTGATCAGAACCCTTCCCCTATAGCAGCTAGGGATGGGGACAGGGCTTCATTCAGCCCTGAACTTTGGCTGAGCAGTGAGCTGGACGTTGTGGGCTTAGAGCTGCCTTTACAAATTGAAGAGGTCATAGACAGCTTCCAAGACAGGGAAGGTGTAACTGAGCACCAGGGCAGCTGCCAGGTGCTGGGCCCCAGAAGCACCATTTCTGTAAGCCCTGCAGAAACCACAGCACCTGGGGATGTAGGGAGTGGTGAGATTCCCTGTGAAGGCACAGATGCCACAGACGGCCTAGAAAAGAGAGACTACTGTAGCTTGCCAGGATCTGTAAGGGCCAACCGCCCAGACTTGGGATCCAAAGAAAAGAGAGAACAGAGCCCTGAGACCACACAGGAAGACCCCAGGGATCTGTGGGCTGAAGGTTGCTCCTCATTGCTAGAAAGCAAAATCAGTACTTCGGCACTAGGGTCTTCCAAAGAAGTCTTCCTGTCTGCATGCCGAGGCACTCTCCTTAACCTGGGAAGCCAGGATGCCTCCTTCCTTGTGGCCAGCCAAGAAGCAAGGAGCAGAGGCAATTCCCTTTCTCCTCTTTTGGAAACCACAGAACATGTCAACATATTAGATATGACAGATGACTGTGGCCTTCAATTAGGAATCAGTGAGGAGACCTGTCCACCAAATTCAAATCCTTATGACCCTCAAGGAGAGGGCAAGGAGGATACTCATTTGTCCAAGCCTAAAGACCTTGCTCCTTTACAAGAGAATGAAGAGTCTTACACACTCAGGACTCCCAAATCACCCTGTCCTCCCCAGGGCCTTAGAAGCATTTCCTCTGTACAGGGGACCAGGGATGCCTTAGCTCTGAAAGAAAGCTCTCCTGTTAGTCAAACACACAGCTCAGCAGAGGGGACCCAAGGGAAGGAGAAAAAAGAGGAGGAAGACGAGGAACTGTCCGATTTTGCCTACCTCTTGGCCTCTAAACTTAGCCTGTCACCAAGGGGGCTTCTCAGTCCGCGACATGCCTCAGGTGGTCGGGGTAGCCAGCGGGCATCCCACTCCCTCTCTGTGGAGGCAGGAGGCCTTGGCCAACTCCCATATCCTATTGCCAAGTCTGGGAAGCAAGTTGTAGCTAGAGGTGCAGCCCCTGCTGAAAAGATGCCTCATCCAGGAGCTCAACCTGGAACCCCTGGGGAGAAGCCCTCAGTTCCTGGAGTGGTTCGACCCTCCCAGCCCCGTAAAAGGCGGCGTGACAGTTTTGTCACAGGCAGAAGGAAGAAACGGCGCCGTAGCCAGTAGGGACCACCCCATCATACCCCAGGCCCCCAAAGGTGAGCACCTCAGAGAGGATATCACACACCTTCTCACCAAGGGAGCACTTGCCCAGCCCAAAGTTTTGTTCTGCAAAAGTGGCAAGTGTGGGGAGCGAGGTCTTAGTGGGAAGTACCTTTGGAAGAGTTATGTGGAAAAGAAAATGAATAAAGATCTTTTTGTTGTTGGAAAATGCTCCCAGTGGGCCCTTCTGTACTTATGCCTTTGCTGCCAGATAGGATGAGATGCCACAAAGATAGGAGGTGGGGGTAGTTCCAGATTCCACGCATTCAGGCACCTCTCTTATCTCACCTCCAGCTTCTTCATCACAATAGACTGCCTTTCAGGCTAAGTCCCAAAACAGAGAAATCTCCAATCATCACTTTATTCATTCCCCTCTTCACAAGCCCAGGGAGGGCTTATCTGGATGTCCTATTATTATCAGCCTCTCTTTAAGTCTCTAGATGGAAAGATGCTTTTTTATCCATCAGATCTCTGGCACAGAGATCTCATTTTCTAAACCTAATTAATTTTCCATAATTGTGTCTAGATGCAGCATTGTTAGGGAGCCTTGTTTTCTTCCTTGAAAAGAGGCTGGAAAGGCTGGGCAGAAAGGACCTAAGTGTCCTCAGCTCATCTGTGACAGAGCAACCCTCCTGTATGGCTGGTATGACCTGCAGAGAGGCGGCGGCTTTCTTATGGACACAGCTCTCTGCTCCCACTACAGGCAACAGAATCAAGTCTCAGTAGGATTACTAAATATGGAATGGTAGTAAGCTATTTTTAATCTCTAATGAGGGCAGAACAAGAGGGAACAGGCTGAAAGAGGTTTGTGAGGAAGTCCGTCAAGATGTGCATATATGAGATGACCACAGGAGGGGAGGACACAAAATCTCTGTACAATTTCTCTGCAGGGAACAGCCCTGTCCATCTGGGGGTGAGGCAGCTTTTCATCTAGCTCTGGCCAAGAGGACTAGCCTTGGAATTCTTTGGGATCTTCCAGTGGGCATCCTGCAACCATTCATCCCTTTCCTTCCCAACTCATGATTATCATCATTGTGACGGAACTTCATTTTTTTAATAGATATATATATATAGATTTATATTTATATATAAAATAGTTTCTTACAAAAAAAAAAAAAACCAACCAAACAAAAAATTAAAACCAAACTTAAAAAAACGAACAACAGTAACAAAAATCAAACAAGAGCAGAGAGGGGACTGAGGCATAGGATAGGCCCTGGGCACTGCCCTGAGTCGGTGGGGCTGGATTCGAGCTGAGGCGGGAGGAGAGGGAGGAGAGGTGCTCAGTCGCCCTTCTGCTTAGGCGCCTGCACAATCCCATTGGCCATGGGGCTGTCTGCAGTTGAGGGATTTGGTATCCCGGAGGTGCCTCGAAGGGTGTGTGGGGGGCGCAGATAGGTGCTGAAGAGCTTCCCATAGAGCGGGTCATGGAGGGAGAAATTCTGGAACTGACCTGGACAGATAAGAGTGAGATGGGAAGAAGTAAAAAGACCTGAGAATGAGGGGAAAAGGATGCCCCCA